GATTTTTCGAACTGTATCGTATGGCCGACTGATCAATCAAAGACCAAACTATCAATCGTAGTTCAGATCATCAAGCGTATCACTAGCAAACTGGCCGACCACAAGGCAAATAGGTCGGTCATGAATCAAAGCACATTAACCTTAATGCTGATTAACTTAAAGGTAAATTATATGATTATCTTGTTGCAAAGATTTTGAGGAAGTCTGATCTAGCCAAACAGATGGTAAGTTGGTCAATTTACCTATCAGAGTTCAACCTCTGATACAAAATGCGTGGCTCAGTCCGAGCACAAAACCTAGTAGAGTTCACTACCAAGCTCCCAAGACTAGATAATTGTCTAGACCAAACATCGAAGTTGTACGTTGACAGATCATCTCACAAAAGGGGTGGATGAGCTAGTATTGTACTAGAAAGGTCGAATGGTACAGTAATACAACACTCATTATTATTAAAATTTAAAATTTCTAATAACCAGGTTGAGTATGAAAACTTAATTGCAAGTCTTATCTTGTCCAAAGACGTGGGAGCAGGCCGAGTGGATTGTTGAACAAACTCCCAACTCGTGGTCGGGCAAGTCAATGGAACAGTCTATATCTATGAAGATTAAATCCTTCACTACTTCCACAAAGCTACATAATTGAATAAGGGCTTTGTAGCCATGAACATAAGGTGCATCCCTCAAGCAGAAAATGCAAGGGCAAATATATTGTCCAGGCTAGCAAGTGATAAGGAGAACGACCAATTAGCCACCATGATAAGGCAATTGTTGAGGAATCTGACCGTGGAATGCATGTCCACATCCGTAGCTGAGTAGGAGGACTTGAGGGAGAACATCATGGTCTTGATGAGGAAACAATATGAGGGTGGAGTCATTAGCTTGATTGAAGCAATAAAGATTGCTCAATTCCTTTTTGTCGGAGAAGATCTATACAGAGGAGGGTTTTCCACCCCTTACTGAAATTCCTTTTAAAGGAAGACCAATATGTAATGAACGAGCTACACAATAGTGTATGTGATCTCCACATCGACGAAGGACACTTAAAATGAGAACCTTACGAGCCATATATTATTGGTCGACCATGTAGGAAGATTGCAAAGTATTTGTTAAAAAATGCAGAAATAGCCAAGAGCATGAAAACTATGTTAACGTTCTGTCATTAGAGCTGCTTAACATATCCTCCCTTTGTCTGTGCTCAATAGTGGATGGACATTGTCGGTCCCTTCAGGATCGGCCGGGCTTAAAAGATATTCATCTTGGTTTCCATTAACTACTTGACTAAATGGGTGGAGACAAAACTATTGGTAACTATCACAACTCAACAAGTGCAAAAGTTTATGTGGAAGATAATCTATGCTTTGGTTTACCCTACATGGTCATAATAGATAATGGTCAATAACTCATTGATAAGAAGTTGGTTGAGTTTTAAAACAACTTAGACGTTAAGCACGTCACCAACTCATTCGAGCATCCTCAAACGAATGGCCAAGCAAAAGTGGTCAAGAAAACTATAGTGGTTAAGATCAAGCGACGTTTGGATGAAGCAAAGGAAGCCTAGGTGGACGATCTACCTGAAGTCTTATGGGCTTACCGCTACTTATTGTTAGCACCATGGGGGAGATGCCCATCAATATAACATATGGTACTAATGTCATGATGCTTGTAAAGTCAGCGAACCTTCACTTAGAAGAAATGTACAAGATATGTCCTCAACAATGAAAAATGGTGATAGTACGAAGATATAACACCAAAGTTCAGCCAAGAATCTTTAACAAAGAAAGACTTGCGAAGCTCAAAACAAGCCAGTGCATTCAAAGCTCGCACCAAAGTTTGATGAGCCATTCAAAATTGTGGTAAACATGAAGAATGAGGCATATCGGCTAGATTCTCTGAGCGAGAAGGGAGTACCCAACACTTGAAACGCCTCATACTTGAAATTTTATTTTAGCTAAATAATTGTACCATATTTCGACGTAATATTTCTCCCAAAGAATGCAATAAAGTTATATTTAAGGAAGAGTTCACCCAAGTGAACCCCTACTGATCACACGTCGAGGTGGTTGAGGAAGAGTTTTGTAAAAGACCTATGCCCCTTAGTCCAAACAAAACTTGGTGAAGGAAGAATTCACCAAAGTGAACTTTTATCGATCACACGTTGAGGTGGTGAATGAGGAGACCTACAAAGAACCCCTGTCACTTAGTCCAAGTAATCAAATAACCGGTAGGTGAGGGAAAAGCTCACCTAAGTGAACCCTTACTATACCACTAAATTGGTGAAGGAAGATTTCAACCAAGTGAGCCATTGCTGATCACGGGCGGAGTTGTTGAAGGAAAAGTTATGCAAAGAACCCCTGTCATTCTGTACAAACAAAAATCGGTGAAGGAAGAGTTCACCTAAGTGAGCCCCTATCGATGACGCGTCAATTCGGTGAAGGAAGAGTTCTGTAAAGAACCTCTGTTGGTCGGTCCAAACAATCATAATTCGGTGAAGGAAGAGTTCACCTAAGTGAACCTCTGCCGATCAAGTCGCAAGCCAGTTAAAGAAAAGTTGATTTGTGACTCATGTCGCTCAATCCAACAAGCTCCAGGATGACTTAGACGAACAAGGCCGATGTATGTAGAGGCCAAAACAAGCGAGTACCAGGGCCAATAAAAGCTGAAAATTTGAGAGGCCGAATAAAGGTTGAAAGCTAAAGAGGCCAAATATGACCAAATACCGAGGAAGAGGAACACAACCAAAAGTTTGAGAGGATGAACAACGACGAAGATAAAACACAACCAAAAATTGAAGAGGCCAAACAAAGGCTGAAAGATGGAAAGGCCAAACAAGGTCGAAGACCAAACGCAATCAAAAGTTGGAGAGGCCAAACATGGTCGAAGAACAAACATGGCCAAAAGTTGTAGAAGTCGAATAAAGGTTGATAGCTGGAGAGGCCAAACAAGACCGAAGACCGAACACGATCAAAATTTGGAGAGGCCAAACATGGCCGAAGATCGAACATGGCCAAAAGTTGGAGAAATCGAATAAAGGTTGAAAGCTGGAGAGGCCAAACAAGGTTGAAAACCAAACACGACTAAAAGTTGGATAGGTCGAACAGAGGCTGAAAGCTGGAGAAGTCAAACAAGATCGAAGATCGAACACGACTAAAAGCTGGAGAGGCTCAAAGAACACTAAAAGTTGTAGAGGCTACACATGGCCGAAGACCGAACACGACCAAAGTTGAAAAGGCCGAACAAAGTATGAAAGTTTGGAGAGGCCAAACAAGGCCAAAGGCTAAACATGACCAAAAGTTGGAGAGGCCAAACAAGGTCGAGGACTGTCGAGTAAGCTCTATTGCACTAACATTAACATGACCATCTCACCAAAGGGGTTTCTTTTGCTCGTTATCTTACTTCTCTAAGGCGTCACGAAACTCTTTCTTCACAATTTATATCTCAATCCCAAGGTGGACGCCAATTGTACTTATGGAGTCGAGTATACCCTGTGAAGATTAACTTCACAAACTTCTTTAATATTCCCTGGAAAAACCATTCTTCCTTCCCTCCTCTCGGTACTCGTCATTTCATAGCTGAATGAAAGTGTGTCTGTAAAAGACACTTTGACGCTCAAGTTAGACGGATGTATCAGATAATAATTAATGTTGTCATAATAATAATAATGAATCTAGACAGTATAATAGCATGTAACACTTAAAAAAAATTATAAAACTCAAATTTTAGACTTATATGTAATTTTAAACTTTCTTTATTGGACCGCATTGTAAAAATGGAGAACATCTATTTGAAATATGAAAGTAAAACTTACTACTGAAAAAGCTAATAATTATTATAGAAATAGACAATAGCCACGTAAGATCGATTCCTTAAAATGTGTGCCATTGTCATATTTTCTTTCAACCGTATCTGCGAAACTCTAGCACGAGGGCGCACATTAGAATCTTTATTTCATAAATGTATTTTTTATTTTATTAATATTCATTCTATATCTCAGTAAATTTAATGATGGTTTAAATAAAAACTTAACAAAGCAACATCTTCTCGTATAAAGAATGTGGTTACGAGCTTTTTGATTTCACTGTCAAAACACCTGTCTAAAAAAAGTAAAAAATGTTTTAATGATCTTTTCTTATAATTTCCATTCATAACATTTGCATAAACATGAAAATTAACATTTTTTATATTGAGTAAAAATAAAAAGTTCTCATAAATATTAATTTGTAAATAAATAAGAGTAAAACTTTCTTAAAATTATGTAGGTTAAAGACAAACTCTCAAATGAAAGACCAAATCATGGTAAATTGAGAGTGGAACTAGTGGGGAAAGAAAATGGACCAAGTATAAATATGTAATCATGGTTAAAAGGATCTAACCTTAAATGTCTTGAAGTTTGGCTCTTTAACAGGTAATGATAACAGTAATCATCGAGTTGTTCACTCCAAATATCTTTGCTTTGAAAATGTAAAAATGAATTTCATGATCCACAATAGGTAATCTATATGAAAATGAATTAGTAATAATTAATATATATTAAAATAAAATTTAAACTATCATTAATACGTTTGAGATTTTCAAGACTAATAAATGTTTTCCCTGTTACGAATTCACATGACTTCTTAGGCGTAATAAAATATTAAATAATTGTTTCGCTTCATTGGCGAGTAAAATTCACAATAAATGGTACCTTCTTCCATAAATCTTTTGTCATTATGTAACAGTTTCTTCTGATGAATAAATCCACTCGCATGCTTATCTGGCACTCCATCGTCCACATTATTGTTACACTGTTCAAGAAAAACACATGCATCTCTTTCAATAAATAGACCCTTTTACACCGATTTAGGTTATAAAAATACCAGAGGAAAGAGAAGTAAGTGAACATACTTTTTCTTTTCTTTCATCTTCATGTAACTATTATCTATTTTTCCATCGCATGCATATCTATCTTTCTATGATGTTTTTTTAAGGATGTTCCTTTAATTAGCTTTTGTAATTTCAGGTGCCATGGCTGGAGCGAGGGAACAAGATCAGTACATGCCAATAGCAAATGTGTTAAGGATCATGCGAAAGATCTTACCATCGCATGCAAAGATCTCCGATGAAGCGAAGGAGACCATCCAAGAATGTGTGTCGGAGTACATTAGTTTCATCACTGCTGAAGCAAATGACCGATGTCAGCGCGAACAACGTAAGACTGTAACTGCTGAAGATGTTTTGTGGGCTATGGGAAAACTTGGTTTTGATGACTATGCTCAATCTCTTTCTATTTACCTTAATCGTTATCGCCAAAGTGAAGGAGACCGTATGTCTGTGAGACGTGCTCCTACTTCTGTTCCTCCAATGGAGATGATGAACCCACCTTATCAACCTTATCCTCCTCATGGTTTTGGAATGTTTGACTATGATCCATCACACTCCATAGCTTCTTCTTCAAGATCAGGTGGACTTGTTCCAAACATTGATCCTTATGTTAATCCAAAACCTAATGATGATTTTGATCCTTTTCTTAATCCAAAACCTGCTGATGATAATCATATGTGAATGTGTTTCTGCATGCAGCTACATTCACAAGATCAATGGTCCTGGTATGAAACTAATACATGCAGAGAGACGTCATGATGATGCAAGTGTTTAATGTTTTGTTTTCCCTTCTACAGTTGTTTTCAGTTCGAGACAGTGTCTCATAGTTTATGTTTAATGTTTTTCTTTTATGTTTCAAGAAGTTAGTGTTCACTGTAGTATCTTACTACACTGTGTTGAACACTTTTGTATCGTGAACTACTAAATCATAAATAAAGAAGGTGTGTTATGTTATTATTTTACCATTTTATTTAATAATAAAATAAATGCACTGCATAACCTAAAGTTTTCTACTTTATAATTTATTATAAACAGTTCATGTTTTCAATATATTATATATATATTTTATTAAAATTAATTATGTTAATTATATTTTCTTTTATGTGAATGTTGTAATTTATTAAGTATTTTTGTATAATTATTTAGATTTTAAAATGGCAAACCCAAGGAAACAATTAACTTTGACATATAAATAATAAAAGGTTCCAGTTTAGTTTTATAAGACATAATAATGCGAATGTTGTGAGTATTTCACATTAGTATGATTCATATGAAGCAAGAAAAGCCATTTTTATAGAGATATTTTGATATAAAAATATATGAAAGTATATACTCAATCAATAAAAATGATTTAAAATTTGTAAATTTTGAATATTTACTCGTTTATAATTAACTGTATATTAATTTGGCTCTTCAACACAATTAAATTTATTTTACTTGTTTTATATAATATTTAAAAGAAATAACATCAGACAATTATTTTTCAACAAGTACATGTTATTAGGTTTATAATTTGTTAAAATAAAATAGTAGTATACATTATACCATACCTATCATAATAACGTTTAGTTGTATTAAGAAGTTGATCGATGTGGGTTTCCCTTATTATTATTTTTTAATTTTAAAGTTTAAGTAAAATAAATGATTTATAATGAATTTAATTTTTTTAATAATTTTTTATATTATTAATAAATATAATTTATATTTTTCATCAATAATAAATTATTGTTATTAATAAAACATACTAAATGAACTTTAAATATTTATTGAGAGAAAATTAATAATTTTATTAAATCATTAATTATGTACATGTTGGTCCAAACAAACAATAAATCGACATGGACCAAGGAAGTCTGCCACATAACAACAATCCAAGAAAACTCATAAGGAAAATACACAAAACGTTAAAATGGTAACTGTACTCTCAATATTTATACTTTCAATATTTATACTTGGTCCATTTTCTTTTACCATTAATTGCACTCTCAATTTACCATGATTTGGTCTTTCATTACTCACCTTTAAATAATTTTAAGAAAGTTTTACTCTCTTTTTTATTTTTACTTAATATAAAAAATGCTAATTTTCATGTTTACAGTTTATGTAAATGTTAGGAATGGAAATTATAATAAAAGATCATTAAAACAGGTTTTTACCTTTTTTTTTAGAGAGGTGTTTTGGCAATGAAATCAATTAGCTCGTAACCACATTCTTTATACTAGGAAAGAAGATGTTGCTTTGTTAAGTTTTTATTTAAACTATCATTAAATTTACTGAGATATAGAATGAATATTAATAAAATAAAAAATACATTCTATGAAATAAAGATTCTAATGTGCCCTCCTGTTAGAGTTTCGCAGATACAGTTGAAAGAAAAAATGACAATGGCACACATTTTAAAGTATCGAACTTACGTGGCTATTGTCTATTTCTATAGTAATTATTAGTTTTTTTTAATAATAAGTTATATTTTTATATTTCAGACAGATGTCTTCATTTTTTTCAAAAAAACAATTTTGACACAAAAATGTTTTCCTTGACAACATTCTAATACTGATATTTTTTTCAAGATTCATTATTCATTTGATATTATATTGCCCTAGTCTAAATTCATGAGGAAATGACACCTGTGAAAAAAATCTATATTAACATATTATTGTCTCACACAATATTAATTATAGTTTAAAATTTATTTAATACGAAAACTTTGACAACATTTTGATACAAATGTATTATTTTCTTATTAAATTTAAAATATATCAATAATAATAAACAGAATTATTAAAAATTTGACATGTGTTATGTCAAAATTTATCAAAAGAATCCGTCAAAATATCTTTTCCTATTATGTGACATGTAACATTATAAAAATTCAAAATTCAAAATTTGAATTTTATGGAATTTTTTTTGTTAATGGTAAAACAGTATGAACTTTTTTAAAATTAATTATTTTAAACAAATTATGTAATCAAAATTAACCTAAATATATGCAATATTAAAAATTATGTTAATTATTATGTGATTTAAAAAGTTTATTTATACATTTTAATACCTAAAATAAGAAATGAAAAAATCAAGACATTTTATATCGGTTGATATAGAAACTGGATGTAGAAAATACTTTTTACGATAATTATTGCACTCACAAACTAAAAATGTCTCATTTTTTAAAATAAGTTAATTTTTTTAATCAATTCAAAACCTGTGATGTAATAAATAATTTTCAACCGTTTAATTTAAACTACAAATAATTATAATAAAACAAACTATATAATGTTAAAGAATGTACAAACACTAACAAAATTGTGTCATTATTTGGGAACTGCATGTATATAAACCTATTAACTATGGTAGATATTTAAAATAGGCTATAGAAATCTTCATGAATTACAAATTTATTAAGAGACACAATATTTAATTAATGAAGTGTTGTCGCGAACGAAACAAATTATTTATTTATTATTTTTTTAAATTTTGTCGGACTTGCGGACTTCATAAAATATATTTAAGTAATTGATTAAATTTCATAAACATTATTTATGAAAAATATATTAAATGAAGTGTTAAATGAATACTCGAACGAGTTTTATCCAGATTGTTATGAGATTATGTAACAATAAATGTATACTATACTCCTTTGAAATGTAGAAATATTTATTGTTCGATCTTTATTTAAATGCAATTTTGATAAATTTTACTCCATCCACACCAATACCATCTCCCTAATTGTTTTTTTTAAAGAGAAACATTGAATCCCTCAATTTTAATAAATATATACGGTATTAGTTTTGCATATTTTTATTTATTTATTTTAATTTAATTGAACGGTAGACTTAACATATCCATTTTAGCTTACTAATTATAAAAATATTTGACTTAATTAAAAGGCAAGAAAAACAAGAAATAAATGTAGAGGGTATCCCTATGAATAATAGTCAGAAGTTACATGTAATAATGATCATCAGAAAGATAATTAGGAGTAATAGTAGTGCGAATAGACTTGTGAGGGTATCCCTATGAAAACAGCAGCAGCAGCAGTCGGACTAAACTTAAAAAATCCTGTAAACAGAATAATATGAAATTTTATCAAACAATAGAGATTATTCCCTAAAATAGGATTAGGAGTACGATTCATAATGAAAACAACAGTCTTAACATAATCACCCCAACATATAAGAGGAACATTTAATTGAAACATCAAAGAAATAAAAACATTAAAAATATGAAGATGTTTGTGTTCAACTATGATATTTTGTTGACGTCTTTCCACGTAAGAACATTGATGCAACACACCTTTAAGGGAGAAATTTTTTTTAAAGGATAAATCTTTAGCATTGTCAAAGCTAAATACTTTAATTTTAGTGTTAAATTGAGTTTCACAAGAAAAATAAAAATAAAAATAAGATGGAAACAATTATTTTTGTGTTTGGACACGGTAAAACGACTTTTATAATCAACAAGAGTGTGAAAATAATGATAATTACCATAATTAACAGTTTTAAAAGGGTCCATGTATAGATCAAAACAATTAGTACTAAACTCTTTTTAAAAATAAAAAGGTAATTGTTTCGGGTGTAGGATCTCCACAAAATATGCATTCACACTTTTCTTCAAGTCAATTTAGGTAGTTCTGAATTTTTTTAGTCAAAATCCTTCCGTGTTACGCTCCAAATCGTCTGGGTATATCTGTCAAAGGCACTCCTATACTCAAGTCAGTGATTAATCCGATCGGGAGTTATAGTAAAATCTTAAATTCGCAATAAATGCAATCACATACCTTCTTACATTTGACCTCTATTTATAAGTTCTGAGATGGACTTGTGATTAGTGAAATCCTAATCACGACCCATTACCCGCTAAGTAGTTCTTACTAATAATCTTGATTAAAAGCAATGTTTAGGGAAGTTATCACTGGAGGTTGTCCGCTCGGTTTCCCATCCTTCATGACCGTGCAGTTAGTTAACACAACATTTGTTTATCTTGATTGCATGACGCGTGGTGGTGCTGACTTCAACCTATTTGGACAGGTTGCCTCTTTTGGGTGGTTTTATTTGGTCGGTCTCTCTATGTGGCCTATGGTCGTACAATGCAATAACTTTTTTATTTGTTTTTGAAAAATGACAAGTAATAAATGAAAATAAGAATCATCAAGCTTTATAAACAACTAGTTTATGAGAAAATATGAAAAATATACTTTGACACATAAATTTTTTATGTTCATTTGACACTACTCTTATTTTTGTACTCTTTTTTTTCCTAAAAAAATACCAAAGTTCACCTTTTAAAAACTATTTTATCCTTATATTGTGTATCAAATGAATGTAAAAATGTGTCACCCACTAATGCAGAAAAGGCTTTTAACGTCTGTTATTTTGGGTTTTTTATGTCTGATCCCGCCCCGACATCTTTATGGGTGATATAAATGGGATGTCAGACAGCACAATCAGACATCTATATAGACGTCGGACACTATAGATCAAACGTCTATATAGACGTCTGACTGGGTGGCAGCCGACATCTAAGCCCCTGGAACGTGTTTAGCCACTATAATCCATTGAACGTTTGTATGTGCACTGACTAACGTCTATAGACGTCATGCAGTACCATAGCAGATGTATATTAGGTGTTCTTTTCTTAAAATTAATTTATTTTTGCAATAAAACCACACTTGAAAAACAGAAAATTATCACAGAACAGTATACTGTGTATATATATATATATATATATATATATATATATATATATATATATATATATACGTCTCAACTAAACAAAGATCTAAATAATCTGAAAACAATCCAAAACCTAAACTATCAAAAGTTAAACGTTAGTGAACTTTCGAAAAAAAGGAGGACAACTTTGAACACACCCTACAAAACGAGGGACCAAAATTGGTATTAAACCTAA